TAGGGCCAAGTTACAGAGTTACAGTGACATGGGAGAGCCCCAGGTCCTGTGCTCACCAGCACCTGTGTTTGCAAAGGGGACGATGGGCTTGGTCTCCCAGTCGGCCAGCCCGTGGCCTCACATTCTGCCCCGTGTTCTCTCAGCCCAAGCCCCGTCAGGAGCAGGCCCGGCTCTGTGGCAAGGCCCCCCTTTCACGTGCAGGAGGCCCAGGCATGAGCCACCCCTTCCTCAGCGAAACTCCCTTTCTGGCCCGGGGCTGCGTATTGTGGGGCTGAGCCCTGGGAGCCCCAGCCGAGGGTCCTCCTTGCCCTCCCCCGTCGGCCTGGTGGGACCAGCCCAGGATTCGTGGTGCCCTCTTAGGAAGCCCTCCCTCCTCTTCTTCTCAGGGAGGCAAGGCCTGGTGCCTGGCTATCTGGGCCAGAGATAAGGGCCAAGGTCTTCTGTCCTGAGGAAGCGGGCACAGCCCCGTCCTTCCTCCCAAGGCGCAACGTGCAGAACTTCCCCACTCTGTTCCCGAACATCCCTGCCAGGGCCAAGCCAATGGGAAGACGGGCAACGAGGCAACTTGGGACAGCCCAGTCAGCTTACAGTAGTGCTGACTCAGTTGCCCCAGCCGGAAGATCTGGGGGTCATCGCAGGCAGGACTCTTCCTCGGCGTGATGGCGCCTGCCCGCCTGGCAGATGTTCCAGGGCCAGAGGGGCCTCCACCCATGCTCGGTTTCAGCTCCTTCCGTCCCCGATTTTGTCTTCATGGATGCATATGTACGTGCTGTACCCATCGTACCCTGACCCTTCTGGAGAAGGAACGTTACGTACCGTGCGGAAAAGGAGTAAGAAATAGCACAGAAAAGAAACGGAAGACAACAGGGAAAGGAACAGAGCTAAAACAAACGTATACCCTCTCTACAACTGTCCATCCTTTTCAGCTATCTTTTCTTCTTCTTCCTTCTTTCCAGAAGGAAATGGAGGCCTGGGTGGTCATCGCTGTTTCAGGGGGGATATGAGAGCGCTGCAGAGAATTTGGGTCTCCGGGGCCAGGTGGGGTGCATCGAAGGCAGGGAAAAACCCACGGTGGCTGCAGAACCAGCCTCCATAGTCTCTGAGACCTCCTGGAGGATGGCTGAAGTCCCAGAAGACTGGAGGAGAGGAAGAGTCACCCCATCTTCGGAAAGGGAAGGAGAAGGACCCAGGAAATGACAGGCCTGTTAGCCTGGCAAAATCCTCAAGCAGCTTATTAACCAGGGTGTTTGTGAGCACTTGGATAGGCAGGTTGTGATTAACAGGTTCTTAACAGACTAACCTTGGTTGATTTTTCAAGAGCTGCTGGTTTAGTAGATCCAGGGAATGCTGGAGGCGTAGTTTACCTGGCCCTCAGCAAGGCCTTGGACAGAGTGCTGCAGGAGGCTCTCCTCTGGGGCGATGCTCTCCTTGGTGGATGCCCCTTGGCTTAAACTCAGCAGAAGTTCCTTGGAAACACAAAGTCACACTCATGTTGAGAGAAACTCTTGAGGGCACCGCAGAATTGCAGTGCTTCAGGCCTCTGTCCCCTGAGGGTGCACCCCCCTTCCCCTACCTTGGTTGGAATCTGGCACTGCTGGCAGGATCCCGCTGGCAGGATCGCCCTGTGTTCCTCAGGCTGTCCAGAGGCAGCTGGTGATTGACTTAACTAGCCTTCTGATCCTGGGGGTGGGGGCCTTTAGCTCCCAATATATCTCCCCCCACAATACCACCTACATTTCCCATGGCCTTTGGCCTTTTCCCCTGGTGCTTCGGGCCGCTGGTGGAGCAGAAAACCCTGGCTTGATCCTGCATTGCTCTCCTGACCGTGGAGCTCTTGGCTGTGTTGGCAGGAGCGCCCATCCCACCAGCCCCAACGGGGGCCAGGTTCGCTGGCTCTTCTGCCCTTCCCGTCTGCTCCCAGCACTCCGAACACATGGTGCCTGCGCCGAACCGATCAGAGCAGTGCCTCTTCTCATTTTCTGCACCCAGGACCCTTGGCTGGAGCATGTGGCCCGTGTAGCCTCCTTCTGGGTGAGGGGAGGGAGGGGCCCGATCTCCCCTCTGCCCCATTCACAGCCTCTGCTCTTCTCTTGCGCCCCACAGCAGAACTGGGGAGCGGGACCTTTCTCTTGCTTCGGTGCGCTGCCTCCGCTTCTGCTCCAGGCGTCTTTCATGCGCTGCCGTGGCTTCCTTCCCGGGAAGCACAAAGACCCCAGTGCCCGCCAAGCCTGGGCTCCGGCCCCCTCAATGGAGGGCCTGTTCTCTGGGCAACGGGGACGAGCTCCACTCAGTGGGATAATGCCCCTACTGGCTCCCGCAGGGGGTCCCCAGCCAGTCCCGCCGTGGCTGCACACCCGTGCTTCTTGGGAAAAGGGCACCCCGCCACTTGGCTCTCTGCTTGCCCTTCCTCTGGAGCTCAGCACTTTCTCGGGAAGGAGAGGATGTGCCTCCCTCAGTTGCAGGAACAACCTTTTCCTTTGGAGCGCCTCAGAACTGACTGCCCAACAGACCGGTCCCCTGACCCTGATCTTCACTCCCTTGACCAGGACCCGGGCCAGTTCCGCTTTGGTCTCCCGGACCAGCTTCTCCACCACTCTTCTGGAGGCCCATCTGATCTCTTTGGGATTTCACCCAGGTGGAAAACGATGGTTTTGGTGCTCCCCAAACCTAACTGTGATGCAGACATAGGCTAGTGTCTCCCACCCTCATCCCACGACCCTTGTCCCTGCCACTCCTCTCTCTCTGATGGTTGGCAGTAGAGCTGCTCAGGTGCCCTGAGCCAGGGAGGGAGGAGCCAGAGGGGTGAGGGAGTAAGTGGGGCTCCTTGCAAGGAGAAGCCTTGTGTCCTGCACACCTGATGCACTTAAGAACCAGGTGGAGCTCCGATTGCACTGTCATGGCGCCATTTTGACTCTGTGGACCCCCCCAAAGGACCCCCCATCTGTGCAGGTAATGGCTGTGCATCTCAGCATATCTCTCCAGAAGCCCCATGAAGTCGCCGCACATGGTTCGAAATCCATCATTCCTGCCGGGCTCTCAGTGAAGGGGGGATTCAGTCTCTGGGGCAAGAAGGGGTCACCCTGTTGACCCTGGGGGACAGGCCCCATCTCGGGACAAAGAGCTCCATCTCAGGCAAAGAAAAGGACTGTGGGGGAGAAATCCCATTGCCCTGAGGCTGCATCCTATGGGCCCTGCAAGATCACCCCATCGCGGTTGCTGCA